GGTTTTTTTTTTTTTTTTTAAAAGGGTCAAGCTAAAGGAGGAAAATCGCTTTCAGGGAGGCAAGAAGAAACATTTCAGGGACTCCCTCAAGTTATCCTTGGGGCATTTCCGCATTGACCCAGAGCTTTGGGAAGATCTCGCTCATGATTGTTCTATCTGGCAAAGCCTTATCCATACTGGAGCTAGTCTGTGAGTGGAGAAGACCTGTTGAGGTAGAGCAGAAGCGCAGGCAGTGTGAATCTCACAACAGCAGCATGTCACTATTAATCAGGTGACCCATAGTGGCATTTCTTGTTCAGTGTCCCACAGACGGTTCAAAGCTCAAATTGGCCTGATCAGCCACTCACGGTTTCACAGAAACCAAACCAACCAGTGATATCATGATCATAGTCAAACTCGAAGGACAAACACTCTGAGCACCTTTCAGTAGTGCATTAATCAGTAGTGTTTTGTTTTGTTTTTTGCAACCCACCTAGGGTCCAAATTCATGGAGTTCCTGAGAAGGGCAGCTGGGCCAAATTTGAGTGATTGGCATTGTACCCTGGCCTATGGGGCTGCAGAGCCACTCAGGTTTGGCCCAGCTGCCCTCTGATGCTGCTAATGTGTGTCAGGTTGCAATACCCAGTGGCATATTGGCCAATGGGGTCTGTGCCCAGGGCCCCCCAGAAAAATGGGTGCCCAAGCAGACATCCATTGCAGGCAGCGGAAGCCCGAAGCCCTGTCAGAAGCGCTGAGTGGCTGGGGGAAGTCCCAGCATCTGGACCCTGGCTGCAGCCCCGGGACTGGAGGAGTTCTTGCTCCCTGCCGCGGCCTCAGGGCTGGGGGAGCTCTTAGTTCCAGCTGTGGCCCAGGGGTGTGGTGGTGGGGGGGACAGAGCTGCTCTGGTCTTGGGGCTGTAGGGGTGGGGAGAAAGGAGCAAACAGGTTACAGTGCTGTGGGGGGTGGGGTGAGGTGGAATGGGGTGGAGCAGGGGAAGGGGCAGAACAGGGTGGGGCCATAGGTGGAAGGGGTGGAACGTGGGCGGGATTGCAGGTAGAAGGGGTGGACTTGCTCTGGCCCATGCCCCCCGAAACCTTAATTCATCTCTGGCAACACTTGGAGCAGGGAGCTGGCCTAGCCCCATATGACAGGAGCCACTGCTGCAGCATGAGTGCAGGGTGGGCTTGCTCTCCCACCAACCCCCTCCCCACACTAGGCCCAGAGCCCACCATTTAGGAAACACTGCGTTAAGTGACCTAACACCAATTATGTGGTTTGTTCTTTCATCCTCTGCCCAGGGTGTGCAGTGGAGTGTTTTAGTAGGGTTGTTTTTTGCAACATTTATTTTAACCTCTTTCTTAGAGAAGGTAGGGCAAAGATATACTTTGCATGTGAAGCAGAAGGTGATGAGGTCTGTGATGGTCCTTACTTTCAGTGGGAGTTCATGCCACAATCTTGGCCTGGCCCCTGACAAAGCTGCCTTCTGCACTGACAAGCTTCACCCCTATTGTGGAGAGTTCCATTGTGTCAGAGGAGTGGAGTTGTGGGCCATGGTTTTCATCTCAACTTTAGGGCATCTTTTAGATATGCTGGTCCTAGGCCATTGAGCACCTTAAAGATAAGCACCAATACCTTGTACTTGACTTGATATGTCTCCCTACAGCCCTGTGAAGTAAGTGAAGATTCTGATCACATTTTAACAGCGGGGACATCAGGGTACAGAGAGGGGAAATGATTTGTCTAAGGTCATATAATAAGCCTGTGGCAGAGCTGGGGATACAGCTTAGAAAGTCTGACTCCTAGTTCCTCATTCTAATGTTTAGGACATGCTCCCTGAGATCAATGTGTTGTCATGTGGGTAAAAGCAGTTGCAGAGTAACTTGAGGGGGATAAACAGCACATTAGTAAAATGTGTAGGTTGTGGTAACAAAGGGCTTTCAGATATTTGTGCACTATGGTGTACCCTGACTTTGAAAACAAGTTCTGTGGACACTCCAAACACTAGGCCCTCTAGGCTCAAGCCCTAGTTGGGTTTCCTCTATATCTATATATAGAGGAATCTTTCTCTTTTGAAGCAGGCACTTATCTCCTTGTTATACAAGTGCTGTATCTTTACCTACTTCCTGCCTGTTCTAATAAAGATATTAGGAAAGTGTGGAAATACCCTATTGGTTAGTTACAAAATAAAAGTACAAAATAAGCCTAAGCCCCTAGGAAAGCAATCCAACAAGAGGGCACAAGGCTATCTTTGCTTCCCAGAGTTCATCAGATATAGTACCCAGTATGCCCCCTCAGTCTAAACCTTTTGGGCAAGGAGGCAATCTTAATCGCTCAGACTCACAGGGCTGGGCTTGTTGCCACCTCTTAGAGGTTGCTAACTCTTATGATTTTATCCCAAGTCTTACGATATTTGGTATTTTTCTTAAAGCTCCAGTTCCTGGAGTCATGTGGCTACATGAGGATCTTAACTTTATTTTTTTGTAAAGTAAGTTTTTAGCCCTCATGATTAGGGGAAAAGCAAGGAAATGTGACCAGAAGGCAAATAACACTACTTATTGCTTATTTTAATTGTGATTTTTCTTTTTAAGCTGGTCATGATTTGGGGGAGGGGTTGGCAATACTGCCTCTGGTGTTGTGGGTGTCTCTTGGTGGTCAGTGTGGGAGCCTTTGTGTTTTGTTTCCCTGCCCCCACAGCTGTGTTGGAGACATGGACCATCATTGCTACTGTGAGTAGCAGACTATATTTCTGTCTCCTCCTATTACTTTTTCCTGCTCTCCCTCATTTGCTGATTGCTCAGCTCCCCACCCAACTGTTACAGCCAGTCTTTTCCCCAGCACTAGCCCTACTGATTACAGTAAACTCTTCTCGAGGGCTCCCCTGGGCCTTTCTAACCAGCATTATCTGACTGCTTGTACTGCCTTCCTTCGGGTGTGCTTCCCTTTTCTCAGTCTTGCTCTGTGACAGCTACTGGCCACTTCCCCCCAGTTTTTTGGGGTTGCTTCTGACACCAGTGCTTCTTTGCTGTCCTGTGGCCACACATCAGGCCCTGCTACCTCAAATATTTTGTTATGTGCCGCATCCTGTCTGCAACTCAGTGCCTTCTGTCAAGATCCACTGATAGTGGACCTTGCAGTGCCCTTTATTGGCCAGCTGCTGATTTAGGGCCCTACCCTGCTCTCCTGGTAGGGCAGCCAAGTATAACACACATTTCACAGCCTCATTGTGCCCCTGCTGCTCCACAGGAATGTCTCTCAGGGGAGAGACAAGGTGAGTGAGATCTTTTACTGGACCAGTGTCTGTTGGTGAGATAAACGAGCCTGAGAGCTACATCGAGCTCTTCTACAGTTTTCACCTGATCAGCAATTCCTCTTGTCCGCCAGGGGCTGCTGTAGTGCCTGCACTGCATGTTGCCTTGTTGCCTCCTCTCTGACTGCTCCCTGCTTCCCCTGTTGGGGAGAGCTGGGAGGAGATGACGGAAGCAAGGAAGGGGAGGGGGGGTGCGTAGAGCATTCGTACCTGATCTTGTTAGAGCTAAACTTACCTTAACCCCAGCCAGCTGTCTTGGGCACCCCCATGCCACCAACCCACCTAGCCTACCACACCACCAAACAAGCCTCACCCAGCTGCTGCAGCCATCTTCCTACCACATCACCAAACCATCTCCAGGCATTCTCTTCCTACCACACCACCCTCAGCCAGCTGCTTTAGGTAGTCTCTTCCTATCACCCCACCAAACAACTCCCAGCTCTTTCCCACAGGCAGCCTCTTCCTGCCACCCTACCAGACAATCCCGTCAGCTGCCCCAAGTAGCCCCCTCCCCTCTGACAGCCCTAGCTAAGGTGACCAGGTGTCTGGTTTTCAACCGGAACACCCAGTTGAAAAGGGATCCTGGCAGCTACGGTCAGCACTGCTGACCAGGCCATTGACTGTCCAGTTGGCGGCACCATGCAGCGGGACTCGCAGGCTCCCTACTAACCCCTGTGCTGTGCGGCTCCTGGGAAGCAGCTGGCATATCCTCCCTCTGGG